TGAACACGACTTCGGACAATCCAGAGGATATCAAGGAGATGATCATATCTTTTGCTGATCAGGTTCGCGAATTAATTCCCAAATTCCCTGCTGAGCCAATCCGACGGGCAAAGATCTTCCCAGTGAGGTGTCCTGGTGAAGACGTATCGCTGGTATCTCTCGATACGGATTTTGCTATTGCCGATAGAGAAGGCCTCAGAAGAGAACCGAAAGATCATATCAGGATATTAGACTTCGATCTAGAACACGTGTGATGGCTATGGCCATTCTTCCAATGGCTTGGAATTGACAACCGATACCTTTCAGGTTGTGTGAAGGGATCGGTCAAAGTACCTGAAGACGGCGCGCCGTCAGAGGAGTTAGACCCATGGGATCTGAGACGCAAAGCCTATCATATCACTCGGTAAGATTAGTCGCTCAGCCTAAAGGCTGAGCGACTAATCGTGCTCGTTCTTTCTAGAGTTGCCGCCACTTTCAACGTCTTTGCGACGTACGATCATGCTACCTCGCTATATCAACGGCTGAAAACCATACGTATTATCGAAGTTTCTAACATCTCGTCCGAATTGGAAATTTTCCAAGATCAGACAGTGATTCGGTCAGCGCCACAGCCTACGACTGCGCATATATCTGATGACGACCTCAATTTTACCATCTATATGTCGAAAGACAAGAAGACGAATATCTTTTCAGTTCTTCCAAGAATTCTTAAGGATTGGCTCAAGCATGATACGTTTCCCTTGCGTACATTCGAAGTGGTAAGCTCACTCGCTTCCATCATGGCCAGTGACATTTCCGTTCTGGATGAGATACTTGAGGACCAAGGTATCATAGAACTAACTTTTGAGAATAATGACGCAGACGGTACCAAAAAGGCTTCGGAAGGCAGATCTGAATGCGCGTCTTCGCCGGAGGCAGTTATGAGGCCATCCGAAGAGCATCAAGGAGAGACACTGGCTCCTCGGGGAAGCGAATTTGCTTCGCAAGTTGCCAATAAGGATACGAGCATATATTTTGATAACCTCAGTGTATAGCAAGATTGAGAGATATCGCGGCCTCTCAAAAAAAGGGGGAAACAGCAACAATTAGAGACAAGTCTACATCTTCACTGGTCAACATGACAGGCTCTTATTCCTAAAGTAAAATCCTTGAAGACGCAGGTTTTACTGATAACCTTGAGCTAAGGAGCCGTAACTTTTTCGATCAGACATACTAACTTCGGGCACACTTATAAGCTTTCAGCTTGATACTTTGAAGGAAACTCTTCAAGGTATGTTTTTGTTCATTTGACTTTATTTCTCTGGCTTGTTCAAATATTTTCTCTTCTGACTTTTTGATGGGGTGTTGTCTAGGTTAGCAGAAGTCCTCTTATCACGATACAGTCATCAGCGATACGCAGCAAATCACGAACGACGAGACCCACTATATTACAGCGCTACAGCAGAGGCGAAGGATGACCACGCAGGTAACTAATCCATCACGTAACCTCCAACTCCAAGATAACTTTACCGAGCTCTCACCAACTCTAAAAGAAAATGGCTTCGTCCTCCTCGAACCCCCCGGAGGATACCCTCATGCCATTTTCGTGCTATCAGTGCCGTAACCGTAAACTAAAGTGCGATCGCCTCAGCCCCGGATGCAGCCGCTGTGCCGCCACTGGGACAAAATGCCAATATCCCGCGTCGCGTAAAAAGCCTGTGATAACAGCCACACGGCCACGAGTCAAAGAACTCGAGTCTCGATTGGGTAAGCACACAGTGAAATTATTGACATTTGCTAAGAGGGATAGTCGATCTGGAATATCGGCTCAAGGCGACGCAGGAGGAGGGATATCAATCGTTCAGGCCCTTTGAACCGTCGGAGAATCAACTCACTGAGACGGGGAGATATGAACAACTTCCGCCGCAAGAAATTATTGAGGAGTTGTGAGTGCATATTGACGAGACTAAGGGTAAGGATCTGACAGATTGCAGGACGAACGTCTTTTTTGCAAAGGTTCATTGCAATGCGCAGTACATTCACCCCTCTCGGTATCTCGCGTCGCTTTATCTTCCGCCTCATATGCAACCACCCATGTGTCTTCAGTATATAATCATGGCGCGAGCTGCACTTGTTTCACCGCCTCATAAACACCTTGCAGATCCTTTTTACCGAAGAGCGAGGTATTATCTTGAAGCTGATGAGCAAAAGGTTAGTTAATCATTAAATGTATAGCACATCAATTAACAACATTAGGGTGAAGGAGAGTATTTCGTCACTCTCGCTCATACACAATGTTGCGTCCTTATGGCCCATTTCGAAGTGCAGAATATGTGGTTCTCCAGATCATCTATGAGTACATCAAAGTCTGTTCGTCTGTCACAGATTCTAGGCCTCCATCAACTCGATGGGAAGAATGACTGGAGACGAAATGCAACGCTTCCGGAACCCAAGGATTGGTGTGAACTTGAGGAGAGGCGAAGAACACTATGGGCTGTATTTTGCAGTGATAAGCATACGAGCGGTACTACGGGATGGCCAAGTCTGATGGACGTCAACAAGGTATGATCTATAAGAGCTGAGAAAATACGTGACTGATGCCTTGCAGATCAGCACGTTATTGCCAGCCTCGGATGAAGCCTTTCAACTAGGCATGGAGGAGCCCTCAACGTCATTGCCCCAGGTTCTCGGTGGTGACAACTCTCTCTGCTCATCATTCGCATATCGCATCACCACGACTCATCTATTCCACGAATGTCTCGACCATACTTACCAAGACCATCAAGCCTCTGACCTAACAGATATCCAAAACAGTCAGTTCTGGAAGCGTCATCGCGATCTCGACACAAGTCTCGCAACAGCGTTCATCGCGCTCCCCGAAACGCTCCGCGGGTCACATACCCAAGAAGCCACCACCATAAACCTCCAGCTTCACACCGCGTCGATATGCATCCATCGCGTCGGTGCCGTTCAGGCCAAGAAGCACAACACCTCGGCTGACGTACTATCTAACACACAGGCGCGTCTCATCCCTTCTGCCGACGCGATATTTAATATCATCGCTTCACAGCCCGACGTGACAGCCATGTTCGGCAAACCCCTCGTTACGTTCGCAGCATATATGGCGACATATGTGTTTCTAGAAGATTATGTGTCCGCACAGAATCGCACCAGCGAGATGAAAATGACAGCGCTTATGGATCTCATGATCACGATTGGACGTGAGAACCCTGTTACTGCATCTGCAGCCATACAAATGGCGCATGAATTACGGAAGACCGGGATTGATGCATCTGCTGTTGACAAGGTCCAAAATCTTATGGGGGAGAGGATTGCAAAAGGGCCGCTTTTGGGACAACAGAATACGGCTGAGGGCAGCGTTTTGTTCTGTCCTTTCGATGGACCTTCTGGACCTGCGCCACCTGGCGTACCAAGTGAGATATTGAGGGGTAATCTCAGCGGTTTTCCTTAGCTTTCAAGTCCCTGTCATTCGCGAATTATGATTCGCTACGGATATAACCAAAACACTTTTGGGCAATCATTCGCATTGCGCGACGTAAACATGAACACGAGGTGACACCTGTCAATCAGCGACCAGATCCATATCGGGTAATCAATACACAAGGAACTCACAAAGTTGACGCAAGTGGCGAACGACCAAGCAAGGAACTCGATCCGTGATAATGATTGGCCTGTGACGAACAATCATTGACAGAGCCTTTGCCATTTAGAGAAATGTATACCCGATGCTAACAGTGGAGAAATGCTGCGCATCACGCAGACGGCCCGATATTTTATAACTCCGCATTGCATTGAGATTTCCTCAGATATGCAAGACATTTCTGTTCACTTTTAACAGTTTTATTTCGGTAACCAACAGTATCGTTGCCATCAAAATGGCGCCGGTTTACAAAGTTGCTGTAATTCAATTTGAGCCAAAGGTCGGTTTTTGAACGTCATTGTTGCATCTGTATTGATGAATCTGATGTCATTGACTTACACATTCTCAGGCCATCGTTGTCGAAGAGAACTTTGCAAAAGCAGAAACTTACCTTCGCTCAGCCGCTTCAAAGGGATGCGATATTGCAATTCTTCCTGAATTCCATTTAACATCATGGGTCCCCGAACATCCCGACTTCATATCGGCCAGCAAGACATCAACAGGATATCTCTCGAAATATCAAGCTCTAGCTAAAGAACTCAACATAAATATCGTTCCCGGCACAATCTGCGAAGTCCATGCAGTTCCTGATTCTAAAGATGAGGAGCTCCGTAACATGGCGTACTTCCTCGCCGCAGGAACAGGTGAGATTTGTGGCTCTTACCAAAAGAAGAATCTCTGGCATCCTGAGCGTCCGCATTTAACTTCTTCAACGCATACGCCTCATACTGCATTCGACACGCCGCTCAAACACGCCGATGGAAGACCCGTACGCGCCGGCATGGTGATATGCTGGGACTTAGCATTCCCCGAAGCGTTCAAAGCGCTCGTCAACGAAGGTGCAGATATTATTCTTATTCCGTCATACTGGTTTATGGATGACAATGGCGAAGAGGGAGCCGGTCTCAACCCTGACTCTGAACGGATCTTCTTGAACTGTACACTCACAGCGCGAGCTTTTGAGAATACGGCTGCGATTGTGTTTTGTAATGCCGGAGGACTGAGTTGTGTGAACATGCCGATTCTAGGAGCGCTGGGACGAATTGAGGTTGGTGAGGAGAAGATGGAGATTGTTGATGTGGATTTGGATGTTTTGAGAGTTGCGGAGGAGACGTATAAGATCAGGATGGATATGAAGAGCGAGGGATGGCATTACAAGTATAACATGAACTCGGGTTCAAAGGCATAGAAATGGCATCTATCCATGGTTTACGTATATAGAAGAAACCTGGACTTTACTCTCGTCAAGCTTGGCATATGTGCAGCTGTATAATACCATTCACGAAATAATGAATGGGGCTTGACAGAATCTGGTGATTATAGAACGGTTTGGTATCTCGCTGACTCATCAAATCATCAAGCGTCATTGGTCTAGGGGTTAGGATTCAACTCTTCCATTGAGAAAAGTTGAGGCTCGGATTCGAATTCCGGATGACGCACAATCAGTTTGTTTTTGTTTTTTGTTTTTGTTTCCTCTCTATTGTTGACCCTGTTTCTGCCACCTGACTTCTTTCAGCTCAATTTGACTGATTGCCCAGAGTGATCCAGCTCCAATGCCGTTGGTTTGCTCTCCTCACATCACAGACGTATACCTGTTCCCTGAGACATTTGACTTGGAATTACTAGCAAAAATCCTGCTAACCCTAGTTTTGACTCAATCGTTAGATCTGCCGAGATGGTATGATCTGACAGTTCAACGCCTTTGACTCCCGATCCTGATCGATCATGTCTCAGACTACGCGTCGACATTTGAGCCTGTGCAATGGAGGCGTTAAGGAGTTTCACTCATGAAATATGATCTGATCCGCTGGAGTCGCCCTTTCTGGACAAGACTGCATGAGGCTGAAAATGCCATGCAAGGGAGGACTTTGCAGCTGAACGGTGATCCACAAACGAGATATCATTGGTGGAGAGGGGAAGTTTATGGATCATGTTATTTCCGTCCGGTTACATCAAGGGGGGACTTTTGCTCAGTTGTTCATTTCAATAGTCTCTGTGTTACACACCTTGAGCCTCTTGGAAATGTGACTTGGGCATCCACCACAGAGCTCTGTCAAACTAGACATGCCTTTGGGCACGATAGGTAGCTTGAATGTATGGTCTCATGACGACATAGGAGTGGGGTTATAGGCAACTGCTTGCAAGCCACATTATCAGGGATATGTAACTTTAGGTGTAATCTCCGGCCAAAAAGAAGTACTCTTGATATTGATTACTTGATTGGATAAAGCCTTCTACAGTACAGTAGAGCTGCCTCATCGTCTCGCAAGGGATACAATGTAATACTTGGGATCGTAGTAATGTTCTGGAGCGTGATTCAGTTCTATCACCAACAGAGCCATTCAGAAGCTGTCGTTTGACCCTGTATCGGCGCATGATCTGGTTAACTGGTCGATTTAATGTCACACGAAAGTATATGTTCGTGGTCACAGTAGCTACACAGGAAGTTTAGCCATTTGAACACGAAAAACAATGGCATCCAACAAGAGTCAGAAGTCGTAGGGCATCTACAAGTGGTAATTCAGAAATGATACAGATCTAGGGTGCCGCCTTCACTGTTCTGAGACATGGGGTCCAAGGAATGTGATGGCAGAATGTGCCAAGGGATAGGTAACAGAGAACCAAACTTATATCACCGCCCAGTCGAATTTAATAAAACGAAATTCTCCGTGTAATTAAGGACTTGCAAGCCGTAGTTGATGTCTACATCTTCCACCGAACTGCCGAGATCCGGCTATTACAACGTGGCGCTGCCGTAATTTAAACCGTAGCGTCCGTTAAGCCTAAAGTCTCAATGTCTCGGTTGCTTCAAAGGCCGAATGTGATGGGCACGAATACGCTGTCCGAAGGTTAGCGGCATGGCAAACTATAGAGGTTGCAACCTGTTTCACTTGAGATCCAATCAACACCAAATATTGATTGTTGTTGTGAAATTGACTTGCTTCTCATTAGGAAGGAGATTCCAACATGAACAGTATTTCAGAGGATATGCGACTGTGTTGCTGTGGCCAGTCATTGGTGATTCAATGTCAGTCCAAAGTTTATACGGAAACCTGGACAATGAGTGGAAGCAGATTCAAGATAAAAACATCCATTCGCTTATGAAGACTAAAAGCGGAATTCGAGTCCTATATCGAATCACCATAAACGGCACTAGTAGACCTATCACTTCTCTTTGTATATATCGATATGACCAACCACGTCAGCTGAAATCAAGGGTTAGAAGTATTTAGTAGATTCTCAATAGACTTATCAAGATGGCACTTTGGGCACCGCCTGGACCCAGTAACTTGCCAAGAAGCTCTCGTTGGTGTCATTATCCTTGCCCATAAGACCTGGGACGCCTCCCTGAATAACCGGGAATTCGAAGCCGAAGCCCCTGTCAAGTGCTCACAGTAACAGATATTGCACATATACATCCCAATGTGGCGACTGGAGCTGGAGAGAGAACAAAGAGACGTTAAAAAGTCTAATACGTAGGTGGCTGGTAGGCGGTGATATCCGTTACATGATTTGATGCCGGTTGACTCAGCCCCAAACGTGGACAGCAGAGCGCATCAGCCACCATGGAATGCCGTCTTTGATTCATGCTGTTGGTTCTATCAAAGAGGGTAGAACTGGATCTCTTGCCCCGACCGTACTTTCTGTCCAATGTCTCCCTCAATTTGTGGTTGTCGTCTCTCATTGTCGAATTCAAGTTTCACAAATCTTTTAATGTTTATTACTGATGATAATAGAACTCTGAGTATGAGAACAAGACCTATCTGATTACATGGTTCACATTGACTCGGCGTCGTGAGCGACCGCCCCCTTATCTCGAAGGTTTCACGTCAGCAAGGCCTGCAATCGATCGAGAATAGCCAAGGCCTGGATCCAAACCCATCAACGGTGTTTTGTTTAAGATATTACCGTGCCAAGGCATGTAGCACTACGCATTCATCGATCTGGAACCACCTGAGCTGTCATGATTCCGATAGCCCTCCTCATACCACATACCAGGGATGAATATGACTTGGCCCCATAGGCCTTACACAAGCCAGCCTAATCAAACATTGATCCAGGATGTATCGAAGACAGGTATTTCACAATGTTTTTTCTCACGAGCAGTCAATTGCTTGTTTATTGTGAGGATAGGTATGCTGAGATTTGTCTAGTCAACAACTGCTGAGATATATAGGGCGAAGCTTCATCTACTCCATAGTTCGATATCAACAATAATTCGACAAATTATCACACTATAGCCATGACTCACTCTCTGAGCTGGCAAGCCCTCGTGGCTATCACCCTGACGGTTTCAGCTTCTGCATATCCCCATCAAACATACCCAAACCTCGTCCCACGTGCCGGTTGTTCCATCCCTGACATCTGCACCTGGGGAAGTTGCACCAACACTACTATTGGTCTTGATCCCCGAAACTGTGGAAAGTTCGGCAACTCTTGCGAGCCTTCAGAGATCTGTGTTGCCGGCGAGTGTCTCCCGCTTGATCTCGGTACAGATGATTGTCCTACCTCATGTAAGCCTGGTCAACTGTGCAACAACAGAAAATGTGTCTCCATCGAGATCGCTGTCGATCCTCTTCACTGTGGAGAAGAATCCTGTGATCCTTCATCTCTCTGCATCAACCAACAATGTCAAAAGCTCGACATCGGCTCAGATCCTGCATCCTGCGGCCCTTCCAATACCAAATGCGATGCTGGAAGCTGGTGTCTCTACGATACCTGCGTTCCCTTCATCCTCGGTACCAACGTTCAAGCCTGCGATGAGAGAACTTTGTGTTCTCTTGGTACGTCTTGTCAAGATGGATACTGCCGACAAATATTCCTTTCAACTGATATAAACAGCTGCGGAGATACTTCGCAGAAATGCACTGCTGGACAAGTCTGCGTCTCTGGCCAATGCCAGTCCCTTGATGACGAAGATACCAGTCAGGACTGCGATGGGCTCTGCGAGCCTGGCTCTTGGTGCTTGGCTGGTGAATGCGTGCCGATTAGTATCTCGACGGATACTTCTCAGTGTGGCAGCAGCGCCGAACCATGCGGCAAGGGACAAGTCTGCGTCTCAGGGCAGTGCATTGGCAGCCTGGTCCACCAGGAAAGCATCCCAAGGGTAGCATGTAGTGTCTCTACACGTCCAGGAGGACTTTTCTCTGGGCCAGGGGAATCTTCAGGCCAGAGCGACAACGCAGGTGGTCGAGAAGGTTCTACCAATGACGCCACTTCGGGACAAGGTGGAGGTCAGCAAGGAGGAGACTCTACCTCAAACAACAATGGTTCTGGCAGCTCTCCTGGTGACGCTTCAGGTGGAGGTGTTCAGAATCAAGGTGGCCAAGACGGTTACCAGGGCGGCTTCCCGGGCTCACGTCCAGGTCCCAACTCTGGCTCTGGTAATAACCAGGGTGGCCCCGGTAACTTTGGCGCTGGTCGTCCAGGTCCAGGAGAGGATGGCAAAGGATTTCCATCTTCTGCATGCGAGCCAGAGTGCGCATCAAACTTCATCTGCGTTAGCGGAGAATGTCTTTCGGTTTCGGACCCCTTATCCTGCGGACCCTCCACCAACCTCAATCGCCTATTCCATCGGCAAAACGCTGTATGTCCACCAGGTTATGCCTGTATCGACGACCGCTGCGTTCGAGTAGATGGACCCATCAGCTGCGGCGGTTCTATCTGCCCTGCCAACTATGCCTGTATCCAGGAAGCGTGCGTCCCTCTTGGAGATCCCACCGACTGCGGTGGTGAGACGTGTGCCAGTGATGAGATCTGCTTGGGGAATACCTGTGTATCGAACCCGGCATTGGCCAGCTGTGTTGGTGTCGTTTGCCGTCCCGGACAGGTATGCCAGAACGGAGACTGTGTCGCTGCCAGTGGCGCGCCTGGTGCAAACGGCAATCCTCAGGGTAATGGCGGTAGACCCGGCAGTAATGGTGGTTCTCCTGGCGATGGCTCAGGCAATGGAGGCTCCGGCAACGGTGGTGGAGATGGCGGTGCAGCTGTAACCTCACCACCCACAGATACTGCGACCCGCTCGGGAGCTGGCAATCTTCCAGGTTCGACAGCAGTCAGTGCTGACGCCAGTGACGATGCGCCTATCGTCAACCCTGGCCCTGGCACGACTGGCACAGACGGACTCTCAGCTTCAGCTACCAGCATTCGAGGTCGCCCTGATGGCAATGGAGGATCATCCGCTTCAGGTGACGGTGGTGGCGATTCTCCTACTCTAGCCTCGACTGGAGCGGCGGAGAGTAGTGCTGCTACATCTGATGCAGGACCTATCATGGACCCTGGATCTGATTCAACAGACCTTTCGGGTGCCAGCACGACAGTAACAGGTGGTGCAGAAGGTGGCGGAGGCTCTGAGATTACGCTCAGCGGAACTGCTTTGCCCACTGACACCAGTGGGGAGTCTCCTACTGACGGCGGTAGCTCCGCGGCCGGAGGTGTC